TCTGGAAAATCTAAAATCAAACTTATATGGTCCTTATTGAAAGGAGACTATCAATACTGAACCTAGAAACAAGTATGAAAATCTTTAAAAGGGGACTTTTTGATATTGTATTTACAATAATAATCATGTCTGTTGTGAAATGGGATAGAATTTGGTGTTCTGCAAATCGAAGTAAAAGTCACAAAAATTGAAAAATAATTATTTAATTTATTAGAATAAAATTACTCGGTTTTAAAACGAGAAAAATTATGCAAATTCGTTTTTAAACGAGAAATTTACTCGGATTCGGTATACAGTACAGACAGAACTATGTAATATTATTTTGGCCAAATTGACTTTTTTATTACTGAATAAAATAAATAAAATATCTTTTTAGTACACTACCGTTTCCGCTAAAGTACCACTACCAAAATATGCCAATATACCGATAACACTAAAGTACAGATACCGAAATAAGTCAAAATACCGATAACGCAAGGGGGTCGTCTGGAAAACATGATTGCTTAGAGAGACGACCAAGGTTGGGAAGGGCGGTTTGAGACTTACACCTGTCTCCCTATTCTGCTGCATGTTTGTTTTTATTTGTTTACGGTTTGGCACGAGAGTGAGTAGGGAACACACCCTAGATGATACCGAGTGTGAGCTAGTCGGTGGATCACTCTACGTCCCGACAAAACGATCCGTAACAAATGTTATTTAGATTATTCCAAATTTTATTACATAGATTACACTATGCGGCAAAAATAAATACCTGGAAAATGTAGGCTGATCATCATAAAACTTGGTGAAAGGATTTGTTTTTAATTCGAAAGAATTAATCAAATTAAAAAAAAAAATTTTAATGGTTTTTTCCATCCCTGCATAATTTCTTACACAACTTTTGTGCTTGCTCTATTTTGTTGTTATAAATTATATACAAAATCTCACTTTTTTATCTCTCGGATTCCGTTTTTATTTAAAATTTAAAAATTAAGCGTATTTGAGAATTTAGACGGCTTACAGTCGATTTTAAGCCGCCGCCGTTAATATTTGTCGGCGCAGGGCTCTGCCATGGGACCATCTTACAGTGTTGCCAGATAAATTTTGACTCATATCCCCAAAAAATCCTTATTTTTAAATTAAATTCCCTATAGTTTTCCCCAAAATTTGTTCATCAAAAACCCTCATGTCCGTCCGACACAAATATTTTCCATTGATAGGCACTGTTTGGTATTTAAAAGGAGCAATATCGGAATTTGATTTCCAATATGGCCCCGGAATACAGTTAAAACAGACATGCATATATTTATTAAGCAGCAACCGTGATTTAATTTAGGACAAGTTGGTACCAAGAAAGTATACTATAAAGAATGGCAATAATCGGGCCACGTTTTTCCCTTGGCCCCATTTAGGTCCTCTTTAGAAATTACTTTAACGTTAATGATTATCTTGAAAAGGCATGTATAACAACGAAATTTGACATAAACAATTCTTATATAACTCTCTACCGAGTTTCATGAGGGTCGGGTCCAAAAAAAAAAAAATACGCAAAACAATAAAACCAACACACATCCAAACATATGTTTTTTTTCCAATATGTAATGTTGTTTTTGCTACTTTGCCAAAGCATGCAAAAGTAGTCTTTTTTGATGAAGTATTCAGAGGATGTCTCTGATTTTTGCTCATATCTCCGTTATTTATGGGCGCATTTTGTTGATTTTAAATAGGAAACTTCTCAAAAGCATGTCCGACAGAATTATTGAATTATTTGGATGCCGAAGATATCTGGGGTCTTCAGACACACAGACGGACATGGCAAAGATAACATTTAACAAAAATGATTTGTTCTAGGATATTAATCACTCTTTAAAATATCGGGCTTTCATTTTCAATACGAAAATTTACAACTTTTCTTTTTTCAGTTTTAAATAAAATGAAATGTCAAAGAATAAAAAATATTTTTTTTTCGTTTGTAAAATATAAATTATTTTCGGGGTTTTAAATACAATAAAACTGTCGCAAAAAATAATTAATATTAAGTTTAAGTAATAAGAAAACCTATTAAGTGCTAATATCCTCGCAATTTCGCGAAGAAAATTTGAAGTTTTGTGAGTGCGTTTTGTTCTCTCAAGTGTGTTTTATTCTCTCAGAACTCGTCTGTGTGAAGAGAATAACAAATTTTGTTTGACAACCTCTTCAGTTTCGCCTATATCCCTACTATATGAATAAAAATATGAATTTAGTACTTTTTGGATATTCGGACGTTTAAGGGGTGAAAATTGTACCTATTTTTGGTACTTTTTTATAAAACATTGTTTTTGGTTTATTAACTTATACATAATAACGAGCTCCCACATTGGGAGCTCGTTATTGTCGTATTGGGAGTCCCAATACGATGTTGCAACTTTTTGGAACAGAATTTTTATTTCGTTAATGGGGAGAAAAAAAGTACCAAAAGGCGTAAAAACGAGAAATTTGATTTTATTCAAGAAACACTAAATATGGTAATGATGTGTTATTTGGAACACCGATACCAAGTGATATTTTTTGGTACTTTTTCATTCTCCAACTAGTACTTTTTGAGTTTTCTATGATATTGAAATCGAAACATGAAATTAATAATTAAGGGACTTTTCGGAACTTTTTGGTTCTAAAAAGGTATTTTTTGAGTTTTATCTTTTTCTTTCTTCAAAAGAAACTTTTTGAATTTTCTATAATATTAAACCTAGAAACATGAAAGCATGTATAGCCTCGATTAAGTGAGAACCTGTAAAAGGGAACTTTTTGGTTCTTCAAAAGGTACATTTTAAGTTTTTGTATTATAATGAACCTAGAAACGTGAAATTAAGCATGTAGAGCCCGGATTAAGTGAGGTCCTATAAAAGGGGACTTTTTGGTACTTTTTCGTTCTTCAAAAGGTACTTTTTGAGTTTTCTATTATATTGAACATAGAGACATGAAATTATGCACGTAGAGCCCGGAGTAAATGAGAATCTATAAAATGGCACTTTTTGGTACTTTTTCGTTCTTTGACTGGTACTTTTTGAGCTTGCTACAAAATTTCGACTGGTACTTTTTGAGTTTTCCAAAAATTAAACCTAGAAACATAAAAATAAATATGTAGAGCCTGGAGTAAATTATATCTATATATATCTATAAAAAGGGACTTTTTAGTACTTTTTCGTTCATTGACTGGCACTTTTTGAATTTTTTATAATATTGAACCTAGAAACATGAAATTAGGAATGTACCGCCCGGATTAAGTGATAACATATAAAAGGGAACTTTTTGGTACTTTTTCGTTCTTCAAAAGGTATTTTTGAATTTTCTATAATATTGAACCTATAGACATGAAATTAATCCTGTAGGACATGGAGTAAGTGAGAACATATAAAACGGGACTTTTTGGTACTTTTTCGTTCTTCAACTGGTACTATTTGAATTTTCTTTTATAATGAACCTAAAAACATAAAACTAAGCAATCAGGGACTTGAGTGAATGAAAATTTAAACTGGAGTATTTTTGGTAATTTTTCGTTCTTTAACTGGTACTTTTTGAATTTTCTAAAATATTAAATATATAAACATAAAATTAAAGACGCAGTATCCTAATTGAACGAAAATTTATCTCGCTTACGTCCATTTTGCAAAAAGGGCTCGATATCAATCGAAATCTCTATAGGCCATAATTGACCCTGCCCCCTTCAATAATTGATTTTAACGTTTTCTATGTACTTAATAATACCATAATAAAACAATTTTTGTTGGAACGAAAATATGCAATGGAAATATGTATATGAAATCTTCTTCAGAAAATGACTTAAACGCACATAAATGGCTTTCAAATGTCGATGTCGACGAAAAAAACATTTTTAGGAACCGAAACCTACATTTATGAAAAATAAAATTATGAGAATCGGTCCGCCATTATAACCCTCTTACAGAAAATTAGTTTATAGCTAATACATCATTCCAAAAGTTATCATTATGATAGAATTATGGTAGAATTAAAAAAAGTACTTTAAATTATAGAGAACTTTGTCCATAATTGACCCAATTCCACATTTAAGTCCCTAATCCGAAAATCACGGTGACGTTCTTATTAATCTAATGATCAAAGTCCATATATATATGTATATGACCACTTCCGAAATTTGCTTTTTTACGACAAATGATTTGCCGAATATAACTCTTACTCTTTACTTATTTTATTCATAAAGAAATTACAGCTAAAATAGGAATAGTCTGCCTTTAGAGTTGCGAGTTTTCATACACTCTAATAATGTTTTCAAAGTGAAACTTTTGGAATATTTTTCAATCTCTTTGTGATCCCTTTAAAGGATGTTGTTCTGGAAGAACTTTAACATCCATGTAAACATTTTGGGTAATAAATTGGGAGACTACCAATGAGGGGAGCGGAACCTCCCATATGAATTAAATACAAAAATTCGTTTATCTGGGAAACTAATAGAACTAAATTCTTCAAATTTTGCACGAAGAACTTTAATATTCATCTGAACATTTTGGAGAAAAAAGGCCGGACTTTCATCTGGGGGGCTTGGAACTCCCATATGAATTAAATAGAAAAATTCGTATATCTGAGAAACTATTAGAGCTAGAGTCTTCAAATTTTACTGAAGAACATTTAGAGAAATTGCAAAAATTTGCGTGGAATCTCCCATATGTAACAAATTGTATATCTGGAAAACCATTGTAGTTAGAATCATCAAAATCGTTAAGCTATTTATATTGCTTTTAGGTTAGCACAGCACCCTGGGTATAGCTAGTAAATAAACAAATAAAATATCTTTGTTTTTACGTTATTGATAATTTTCTTAATGCAAAATTTTTTAGAAACTGATTTTCTGCAAGATGTTTTACATGGAGGATAGGGTTAAATATCGGCAGATCCTCGTAAAACTTGGAGAAAGGATTTGTTTTTAATTTTTAAGAATTTTTTATTCATACCTGCATAATTTCTCACACAACTTTTGAGCTTGCTCTGTTTTGTTGTTATAAACAATATATTTGCTTCCAAGATCCTACTTTCTGATCTCTGGGATTCCGTTTTTTATTTAAAATCGTTGAAAATTTAAAAACTAAACGTAGTTGAAAACTTAGCCGGCTTACAGTCGATTTTAAGCCGCCGCTGACATATTTGGTGTCAGTCGCCGCCGCCGTTAATATTTGTCGGCGCAGGGCTCTGCGCGGAAAGCTACTTTTTCTATATAAACATAGAAATATACTGTGAAATGATGAAGGAACATGAATTATTATTGAATATAGATAACAAAGAGATCTTGATCGAGGTAAGCAAAATGTTGTTATTGTCTTGTAATAATTTATGTAAAGAATCTGTTTAATTTAGATTCTCAATCATTCTATAGACTTCTTAATTGGTAATCAAGATGAACAACAAACAATGCGAATGTCACACAAATACGGGTTTCACAATCCTGATGACTTCCTATTAACTACAAAAAGTATTGCAAAATTCTATCGTAGTATCTGCACTAGCGATGTAAATAGTGGTCAACAAAGCGAATTTGTAAGATCGGAATTATCCAACCTTACACCGGAATTTCAAAAAATTATTACATCTGCTTTGCAGTCCAGACGAAATGAAGTACTGTGTTATTTGATACGAGAACAAAACGCTAATGAGTTTCCTCTAATCGAATCATTCGACTGGGATACACGTTTAGTTCTGGGCGATAGCAGTTTTGCACAAAATAATAAAATGTTAACCACTTTAAGTTTGAATTTGCGTCATAACCAACGGCAAAATTATCAAATGCAACAACTGCATGTTCAAATGGATTATAACAAATTAAGCGAATTAATTAAAACGATTGAGGATGCTTTAGTCGATTGTAAATAAATCAATTATTCTAAATGTCCTTAATGATAGGAAGAATATAAAAAAGATTATAAATAAATTGAAATAATGATCGCGATTTAAAACAATTCTAAAATATATGTATACCTATGTGATTATTAAAGTGTTGGTACTTCTGATGAATCAATTCCATTCCCTATACTTTTTTCACTTGAAGGTAAATGTGATATTTTTGGTGAGTAATCACAAATCACGATATTATGCAGTTGTGCTGATGTTTGTAACACCCACCATAAAGTGGATGTAGGAGCAGAATCACTTTCTGAGTCCATGCCCTTGTGCGCACGCTACAGGTCGCAATTTTGAATTTTTAGCTATATCCGTCTGTGTGTCCATGTCCTTGTACGCACGCTACAGATCGCAATTTTGAATATGCTGATGTTCGAAACACATAAAAATATTGGTCTTGCACCCACCTTAAAGTGGATGTTTATTTATTCTCCTAGCCTCTATATAACCGTTACCGTAATGGGCTTTCGAGCTGATTATTATGTTAAATATTCTTGTATCTTTACAAAAATCAATGAAACTTTGTCTCCTTCAGAAAATTAGTGGAAGGTCAAAATTAACTTATAGGTAGTCCTGGAATTTTGCTCATAGTAGAAATTATAAACCGAATGACAAACATATGTATGTATATAACCATCTCACAAAGGTGAATGTTATGTATTTTAAGGATGTTATATTCGGCCACGAAGGGTGATCCTATACATATGCATATGTACTTAGGAGTTTAATGAGATACTTATGGACCGATCTCAGTCAATATTATTTCTCCTGAAGTAGCAACAAATTAAATTATATTTTTCATTTGGTAGCAAGTTGATACAAGCAACTGCAATGCAGTAGCAATGTTACCAATATGTTGTTAAAGATTTTTTAAAATATAAAAAACACTCCAGAACAAAAACATAGGCTTCCTCTATGATAGAAATGTTTTTTATTGGTATTAGTTAATAAATAAAACTGCAATTTTAAAGTTAGTAACAAAAATTCTTAAATTTTTAAGCTACTATGATTGAAGTTTATGTTATTACTACTGTTATATTTTGAGTCTAATTCTTTTATATGAAGCAATAGTTTTAAAAATTTATGATTACAAAACAAATACTACTGCTACCACTTCAGAAAAATTTTAAAGCAGTAGTTAAATCAATTGCAAAAAATTTGGTAGTAAATTTACTTTTTTAATAATGACCGGTTCAGCCAGTTCATAATAAATTTATTAATTTCATCAATGAAGAATTGAAAATAAACAAGTGTTAATAAATAAAAAATACAATCCTAATATTTCATAGTTTTATTTTAATTATGTATTCAATATTTTATTTTATAATCAATACTTTTGCATAAAAACAAATGAAAAAATTTGTGAACAATTTAAAATATTTGATTTTAACTGATATAATGAAAATCTATACAAGTGTATATAGCCTTTTAAATCAAATAATCTTTTAAAAAGTTTTTCAAATTTCGTTCGTTTAAAGTTAGTGTTTGTCTTTTTAACAATATTTTAAAAATAGAAAATAAATTAAATATATACCTATAAATAAATTCATAAATTATTTTATTATACAAGATTATGCAATCACTCTTTTTGTCTGAAACATTTACATATTATTATCGAAAGTAAACCACAAATATAGAAATATGTTAGTATACCACACAGTTTATTCCTTATAGTAGTACAAATAACCAAAAACAAGTAAAATTTTTTATCATATTTTATAATTCAACTTAAATTTAAATGCTGGTAAAAAAAAAACAAAAAAATTGATGTGAGATTTAAACTAATTATATAGAGACTTAAGCAACCCACAATCTCTTAATATGATAAAATTAAAATATTGTAAATCCTATCATCCAACCTGAATGCGGAGGTGTTGCATGCCGTAGAGCTCTTGACATAGACGGCAGCAAGTTCAGACTTACTCAACTAATACCGGTAGACATGTATTGACTTTTGTAATAGTATGCACAAATACCAACAAGTAACGAAAATGCCGTGGTAACAATAAATGATTTTGGTGTTAGCAATTGGGGCAATAAATGATTGATCAAATAATTGCCATTTGGCCTCGTATTTCGCGCAATTTTCTTGCGTCTCTCCAAAGCCATTTTTTCCTCCAATATTCTTTGCTGTTTTCTGAAAGTACAACACAATTAATTATTTATAGAAATTTTAGCAAGCACATCATAGAACTTACTCTAGTTGAATTAATTTCTCCACTTCTTTTTCAATAACGGTCAAAGAATATTTTTCATAAAGATTACTCGATGTTTTTAACAGATCTTCAAATGGCAAGTTGTCTGGTAACTGCGAATATACATATGAACATATGTGAGAAAGAATTATTTAAAAACTATTTGTGAGCTTACCTTGGAGAGTAGACAATGTATCATGGCCATATCACATTCTTCAAGCAAAATATCTTCAGCGCGGTGCAATATTATCGATGCCGTTACAAATATTGGCGAATAAATTGGTGAGGCCAGAAAGTAATCGTACAAACGTACGACTGCTTTGTATGAGTTCAAACTATGTCCGAACCATGTTAAATACCACGGCAAAGCAAATAAAGTACCGACGGAAGAACGTTGCAAAAATTGAAATAGTTTTGGATTTTCGAAATTAACAACAGGCCATATGAACATCAGTCTCTTTTGGGTAGCATCCATGGTTTCTTGCATGCATTCGGAAAAATGATTTGTTGAGAGTTCTTCCATCACAGCGAATGCCACTTCTTCGCCGACAACGAGAAGAAAAGTTACTGCCACATCATGGTAGCCTTGGTAGTATCGTAAATTTGGATATTTGTTAATTACTCGTAATATTAAGACGGTCAACTGATCTTGAAGTGCAATACGTTGTTCGTAAGGAATACCGGGTGGGAAACGTTTCAACGATCTATTTACGTCTAATACGACCTGATTGTATTCAGGATGAGTCTGTAGGTCACTTAATTTGGGAGCTGGATCCAAAGATGTAACATCGACACCAGCCAATTGAGGCCATAATTTTCTTCGCAAGTCATCTGTTACAAGGCCATGATCTGATCGAGCTAATTCCCTTAACATTTTCAATTCAATTTTTCCATTGCCATCTTTCAATAGTTGTTCAATTTTTTGACGTTTTTCTTGCTCTTCTTGACTTTCCGGGCCTAGTAATATGAAAATAAATTATGATTATGTATGTAAAGATTTTGTAAATCACTACTAGTTCTGAATATGCTAAATAGGTATACATTTTAGATATGAGTATGCTAAAATTCAAAACCCAGCAAAAAATATTTTTGATTTGGAATCAATAAATATAAATACAGCCTCTCAAACAGCTTCAGAAAAGATTTTGTAGGGCACATATTCAGCAATTATTGTAGGTAGTGTAGAAATTTGTTTCTCAACAGCTGTTAAATCATTTAATTTTTCTAGGCTTTCTAAATTTTAATCAATGCTCAGTGTTTAAAAATAACATTAATGCATTGAAATCAGCACAATTTCAACAGTGTGCACATTTTGGATTCCTTAAGAAGAGCCTCTTATAAAAATCATGCATATAATCTTTCATAACAAGTTTAAACAGTAACAACTGCCCTGCTTCCGTGGAAGCACCATTTTTGCTGGGAACTTAATGAGTATTTGCTAATAATAAATCATTTAAGCATTGCTTAACATAGAATATTACATCTACATATTCCTTACTTTTGACGTAATTCCTATTTTTTCAAAAAGTTGGAGTATCTTTACATGAAGCATAAGCATTTATAGCGAAGTCGGTGTTTGATACACGACAGAGGAGGAAGACTCTGTGCCCGCCCATAGAGCGGTTACACAGAAATGTTCTTTGTTAAATATGACCACATATACGCATATGTATGGATGTATTTTATCAATCTGTTTTTCCAAAATCTTAATAGATCTATGTATATTTAAGGGCAAAGGTAAATAATAATTTTTAATCATTTTTTTGTTTCTGTTAAACGAAATGACACAATTTTTGATGCAGCAAAGTGCAACAATGGTGTAAACGAACATACTTACATTTTTCAAAGCTCAACTCTTGGGGTTGATCGATTTTTATCACGTCCTCTTCGGACATTCTATATTTTCCTTTTATAAGCTTTTCAAACTAAAACAAGATTTCACAAATATTTTTAAACGCACTGCACATACATAAGAAGTAATCCAGATATTTTTTATAATAAAAAACAATAATTTTCTCTGTTTCCTAATAATATCAAAACTTTTACAATTTGATGACTACTACAGCTGTTTTTTTTTTTCTGATTTTCAAATAAAATGTTTTATAATGAAAACGTTGTGGAATGCGAGACAGGGTAACTCATAATGTGTGCCGCTCCCATAACGTCGTCTAACATAATTCACAATAGTGAAGAAACACAATTGTGAAAACACAACAGTGGCGGTACGGTAATGTGTAAAATATACTTACGCAGCAAAAATAAACGAAGTACTTCCAAAAGAATAACATTTATCACCACTTCAAAAGTAGCAATTAGTGAATTTTTTTACTTTCTGTGGAAGTGATGTTTATTGACTTCCGAAGAAGCGAAAATAATTCTATTTTTTCAATGCTGAAGACATTTTTTTTGTTCTTACATTTTTGTGAGATAAAAAATGTAATTTTTGGGCTTCTGTTTCTGTAGCGTAATATTTACATAAGGAAAAAATACAAAATAGTGCAAATGCTAAAAATTTGTCGTGAGTTAAAAAAAATTATTTTGATACATATCTCACTAAGCGACCAAAAAGTTCCTGAAGGCAAAGATCTATGCTTTCTTTTGAGCCAAAAATAAACAATGGAAGTCCAAATTTTTTAAATTTTTAAATATTTTTTCCCGAAAGAATGAACATGTAGCTTTCTTTTGAGCCAAAAATAAACAAAAGAAGTCCAAATTTTTTTACATATTTTTTCCAAAAGAATGAACATGTAGCTATCTAAACTATTTGAAAAAAATGTTGCTATAACAATAGTTTTTTGTATGGATATGCAAGATAATTTGATGAAATTTGGCACATGCTCTTATTTTGACCCAAAGACGTGTACAACCATACCTCCCGAATAGAGCTTTTGAGCTCATAAATATTTTAAATGTTCTTGTATCGCTTAAAAAATCGGCAAAACTTAGTTTTATGTAATTCTTAATAATACTGCTGATTATCGTAATGATCCGGCCTCATTTGACCCTATCCCCCATACATAGTCCCCTACAGAAAATTACTTGAAGGTCAAAATTTACTTTTAAACACTAATATCATCCCAGCAAAAAATAATTGATGTCATACTTTACAAACTACATCTTAATCACATCTTAAAATGCGATTACATATTTTTCACTTTTATAAACCAAATATTTCCTTACAAATGAAACCCCAGTTAAAAGTGAGGAAAGAGATGTGGAAAAGTCATTACAAATAACATATTTGAAGTACATCAAGATTTGGTGAAAGAGTAGTGAAATTTACATAAGCGTGTCATTAAGAGAATGTGTTTAATTTTTGACATCCAAATATCGGATTTTTACTGCTTCTAAAAATAAGATCAGATGTAGTTCAAAGCTGCCAAAAATGAACAACATCCCTCCAATAACACGCTAATGTAAAATTTATAGGTTTTACACCCGAATTTGAAGCACTTCGGGTTACTAGTTGTGATGAAAATTCTACATCTTTTTCCACACTTTTTTTGCTGGGATGATGATATTCTGCATAAAAAACTAAAGCCCCCATATAACCACTCATTTAGAAAATCCGGTTTTTGTCAACAAATTGTTAAAATATTTCTGAATTATGGTAAAAATGAAATTAAATACTTTATTATTAAAAAACAAGTAAGAGTGCTACATACGGCTGGGACGAATCTTGTATACCCTTCATCATTGTGTTAAATTTAAAATATTTTTCTTTATTTTTTCCAAAAAATTCGCATTGGTTCATAAATGCTTTCCCATCTCTGTGACTAAGAAATAAATTCAAAACAACAAACACAAATACTAAACTTTGTTGTTGTTATTTCCAGCGGTTTACTGTTTATTTCAAATTTTTCTCATATCTCCGTTATTTATGAACCGATTTTGCTGATTTTAAATAGCAACTTCTAGAAAGGATGTCAGATTAAATTATTGCAGACTGAGATCCTAAAGATATCAGGTCTTCAGGTCTTGTATATATTAATCCTAAATTAAATGTATGTTTATCTTGCGTGCGCACAGTTAAAGCAAAAAAGAACGTCCAAAGAAGCGAAAAAGAAGTAGAATTTACTCCATGGAAGTACTGAAAAAGACCTGAAGAAGTGATGATTTTAACACAGGCTTGTCATAGAAGGGATGTCATTTTTATTTGATTCCAAATTCACTACTTCCGAAGTCATTCTTAAAAAGTAATTTTTATGCTCTTTTTTGGCAGTTATTCAGAAATGAAATTGTTTTCTTATGGAATACAACTAATTTGACTTAAATAATATTAACATTAATAAGGGTAATATTTATTTGGGTGTAAAAGCTGTGGTACATGGTTGTTAGATCTTACAACGTTTTCAGTAAAATGTGCAGAAAATATCTAACAATCGCGTGAACTTACAATTTTTCTTTTGCAATGTTGTCAGAAAATGCATTACTGACAATGTTGTTAGAGAAAATTTGTAAGTTGACACTGTTGTTAGACATTTTCTGCACATTTTACTGCCAACGTTGTAAGATCTAACAACGTGTACACATAGCTTAATGCTATGTTTCCACTGGCTTGAAATTAACTAGATTTGCATAAACATCCTCAAGGTGTTTCCACTGAGCTTACTCGTTTTTGATATTCGAATTTTCAAGCAACATTCTGTCACTTTTATATTTCGACAATAAAGTTAATTTTATTTAAAATTGCACATTAAAAATAAAAAATACATTTACAAATGTATAAATTTTATTCGAAAAAATACATTTTCGACATGTTTTAAACAGGGACTGTAAATAACTGTTATTCTGAAATTTTTAACCCAAAAAATCTCTTTTTTGGAGACAACGTAGACCTATACTATTATATACCAATATACTCGTATTGATGTGCTTTTTCAGAATATACGATCTTAGCTCCACAAATAACAGTTATTTTTTAACGGAAAAATAAAAGTCTGATTGAAACAGTTAAAAAATTAGTTTTATTTTTCCGTCGTAAAATAAGAATTATTTGAGGAGTTTTATTTTTTCCATCAGAATATAAAACTCATTTGGGGAGTTTTGTTTTCCCCGTCAAAAAATCAAACAATATTTTTATATGTTTTATCAGTCTCTTATTTTATTGTGTTTATCTGACCAAGTCCATTAAATAGTTGATTTAAGCTGACGTTGAAAACATCTGAATCTAAAACGGCAAATGGTAATTTTCTGTTATGACTGAACACAAGCTTTGTTAATTTCTTCGGAAGGCATTATTATTGAAAATGAGTTTTATTTTCTGACGGAAAAAATAAAACTCCTCAAATAATTTTTATTTTATGACTCTTTTTTTAAAAGTTTCATTTGAATTTTTATTTTTAGGTTGAAAAATAACTTTTTCAGATGTATTTTTATTTTTAAAGTCACAAAATAACTGTTATAAATTAATTTTTTTAATATAACTTATAACTGTTACGGTCCCTGGTTTTAAATAAAATCTAGTAGATTAAGTAGATTTGAATCTGCCAATAATGTATGGGAAATCTAAAACGCATCAGTGGAAATATAGCATAATTAAGTCATTATAAAACCTAAAGTATGAAACACTCAAGTATGAAACACTTTTTCCATGTAGTTTCGCAGAGAACTATAAAATGTTCTTCATTATTCACAATGGGAAATTTTAAGAAACTATTCTGGTATTTCGAAACGGTTGGTTCACCTATTTCAGTGATAGTCTTCCTGTCCTGGGGATGTACCACCCCCTGTCCAGTCCGGCAAACAACAACCAACGACTCGGCACAAAAAACACTCCAAAAGGGGTGGCAATCAACCAACTCAGTACCTTAATAGGGTCATTAGTGTTTTGATGGATCTGCCTCCCCTTCTCTCGAATGTGGCTATGAATTCCTTGCTAACTGAATTAGATAAAAGGAGAATTAAGACTGTCGCTTATGTTGACGACGTTGCTGTAGTGATATCGAGTAAATTTCTTGATACCACATCCAGTAAGTGTAGCGTTTCTTGCGGACTTAGTGTGAATCAGTTGAAAACCGAGGTTGTTCTTTCACTAGGAGATATATGGTCGAAAACTTTTTGCCTTCAAGGTTGAACGGAATAAGCAAAGAATATAAAGAAATTGGGGCTTGTCAGTTGGTACCTAAAGGAGTTGTCATTCGGTACCTAACTCTAAGAATGTATTGGTAGAATTTTTGTATAAGTATTGGAGCTCCAACCACTTCCACCACTCTTTCCGAATATACATACTTGCATGAAATCGTACATAAAAATTTTAGGAAAATAAATAAAATTTAAATTTTTACATTCGCAGATTTTTCAATTTCAAAATGCTAAAGCTTACGTTAAAAGATAAAGGTAAGGTGATCTTCCCGTTAGCCTATCGGACACTTTTAGCTAAAGTTGACTTGTAATAACGAAAAACACATTATCTGTACGATATCTTCCTAACTTTAGTTATTGGCAAGTTATAATAATGGGACTAAATCTCTTTTTGGAAAAAATAAGTTTATTTTAAATAACCTTTTTCATTTTCAATACCAACATTTACAACTTTGTTTTATCAATTTTAATTTCAACACACAAAAATTAATTGTCAAAAAAAAAATTTTAAATATTTTTTTAGTTTGTGAAAAACAAAAATATTCCGGGTTTTTAAATGCGATAAAATTGTGTAAATAAATAAAAAAAAACGTGTTTGTGAAAAAATGTATTTCATGTCCTATTATCCCGGTATTTTCGCGGAAAAGTTTTGAAGCATTGTGCGAGAATTGAGTTCTCTCAAGTGTGTTGAATTTACACAGAACTCGTCTGTGAAGAGAGGGAATTGTTATTGTTGTAAAACAATGTCGCAGTCCAACTTCTTTATATTCTTTGGGAATAAGGCTTAAAACTACTGACCATGAGAAGTACCTTGGAGTAATCTTGGACAGTAAACTATCCCGGAATATGAACATTAAAAATAGGATAAATATGGCAAATATAGCTATCTATACTTGCAGGAGAGCAGTTGGGGTATTAACCCTAAAGTTATCAACTTGATCTTTAAAGCGGTTGTTAAGCCAATGAAGACGACACCAACGAAGGCTCTGTTAAATATATTGAATTGGTTATCAGCCGACCCGATGC